TGTTGTACTCATACCTTCAGGAACAGCCAGATGCTTAAATACGTGGGTCCTAACCGCTCTTGAGTCAATATGGTGTAGGAGAGTGGTCAGAAACGTGAGGAAAGTGAGGGAGTTGGATGATACCAAGTGTCTTAAGACATTTGATATGGGGCTATCTAGACCTCAGCCTTTTTGGCGGACACTTGATTTCCTGGAAGGTGAAAAGGACCCCAGTGAGCGGGGATAGTGGTCCAGCTGTTAAGTCACTGATAATGTCAGGGGAGCCTGGAATTTGGTTTGACACCTGATTGCACTTTCCATTTGTACACAAGACTTAGACCCTTAAACTTGTCAAGTGTAGTAAGCCAAGAGCTGCTGGCCCTCCCTTGGGTGAGGGGGACTTGGGAGGTGGGACAGCTACAGATCTGGCAGTTCCAGGGGACAGATCACGGGTGGCTGGAGTCAGAAACCGCAGGGTAGGGGCACCATGGGAGTGAGACATGGGCCAGGCCCCCGAAGGAGAGGTGGGTGGGCACCTGCCCGAGTTGTTTGCTGAGTCGTGGTGACAGGCCTGTATTTAGTGGAATAAACTGTGAGGTTGCTTCCCTCGAGGGTGGTCGAGAGGCTTGGTGTGGGGATTTGCCATCCCTACAAGGAGGTGGCCCTTCACCTACAGGAAGCAGATGGAGACCACCTGTTAACCAGTGCCATCATAGTGCTTACCTCTAGGAACAGGAAACTGAATTTCTAATCCAGCCATTTTCTTGTCTTTGGGATGGATTTGAGAATACACGTTCTTTTTTTTCCCCCGTGGCTATTTTGGGCCCAGCTAAAACAGTCTGTAAAGGCTGTGCTGACCAGCAGAGTGAGTTAGCTACCACTGTCGCTAGAACCCAGAAAGCACCCATACAATGTTCTCAGGCAGGCCGGGCGTGGTGGCAGGCGCCTGTAATCCCAGCACTTTGGGAGGTGGAGGCGGGTGGATCATGAGGTCAGGAGTTTGAGACCAGCCTGGTCAATATGGTGAAACCCTGTCTCTACTAAAAATAGAAAAATTAGCCTGGCGTGGTGGCAGGCACCTGTAATTCCAGCTACTTGGGAGGCTGAGGTTGCAGTGAGCCAAGATTGTGCCACTGCACTCCAGCCTCGGCGACAGAGTGAGACTCCGTCTCAAAAAAGATAAAGAGAAAAAAAAAAAAAAGTTCTCAGTTCTCAGGCTTGTAGAAGCGTTTTCTCGGGTTCAGGACCACGGCCCAGGACTGCCTTTTTGAGAAGCGCCCTCCTCCCCTGCAACCCCAGCTGATTTGGATTCAGGCAGTGCCGGGTCCACACTTTGAGAAAAAGGCTTCAAGTACAAGGAAAATCTTGGGGCAGCAGGTGGGCACTGTGGTCCTGAGTGACGCTGTCTCACACCTGCTGAGGAGGCGGCATGGGGCAGCTTTGAACTATGTGGCTGCGAGGTGGTGTACATACAAGCACTTCACTGGCCTGGAGAACCAGGCGTGCTGGGTGGCCATAGCATGGATACGCATTGTTGAACCAACTGGCCTCAGGCAGGGCTTGGGGGTGCCTGGATAGGAGTTCAGGTAGCCCTGGAATGGAAATGGACTATATGGTATGTGCAGAAGATTATGTGCTTTTTCTTTTTTTCTTTTCTTTCTCTTTTTTTTTTTGAGACAGAATTTTGCTCTTGTTGCCCAGGCTGGAGTGCAATGGCTCAACCTCAGCTCACTGCAATATCCACCTCCCGGGTTCAAGGGATTCTCCTGTCTCAGCCTCCCCAGTAGCTGGGATTACAGGCATCTGCCACCACACCTGGCTAATTTTTTGTATTTTTAGTAGAGACAGGGTTTCACCATTTTGGTTAGGCTGGTCTTGAACTCCTGACCTCAGGTAATCCACCTCAGCCTCCCAAAGTGCTGAGATTACAGGTGTGAGCCACTGCACCTGGCTGATGCGCTTTTTCAACTCTGTTCTTGGAAAAAGCTTTTTTTTGAGACAGAGTCTCACTCTGTCACCCAGGCTGGAATGCAGTGGCACAATCTTGGCTCACTGCAACCTCTGCCTCCCAAATTCAAGTGGTTCTGCCTCAGCCTCCCAAGGAGCTGGGATTACAGGTGCATGCCACCATGCCCAGCTAAATTGTTTTCTTTTTAAAATTAAAAAAATTTTTAATTATTATTATGTGTCATCAACTTTATTTTGGGATAGAGTAGTGCCCTATACCCCAGGCTGGAATGCAGTGGCGCGATCTTGGCTCACTGCAACCTCTGCCTCCTGGGTTCAAGCGATTCTCCTACCTCAGCCTCCTAAGTAGCTGGGATTACAGGCGCCCACCACCACAACTGGCTAATTTTTTTGTATTTTTAGTAGAGATGGGGTTTCACCATCTTAGCCAGGCTGGTCTCTATTTCCTGACCTTGTGATCCACCCGCCTCGGTCTTCCAAAGTGCTGGGATTACAGGTGTGAGCCACTTCACCTGGCTCGTAATTTTTGCATTTTTACTAGAGACAAGGTTGCTTCATGTTGGCCAGACTGGTCTCAAACTCCTGACCTCAGGTGATCCACCCACCTCAGGCTCCCAAAGTGCTGGGATTACAGGCATGAGCCACTGCAACTGGCTGGAAAGCGTTTTTTTTCCTTGATGCTTGTATAACCAATATGTTAAAAAACATTTTAATTTTTGAATTGTCACTGAGGTGTAATTATGAGCTCTATGATGGGCAAACATGAGAATCTCGTCTACTGAATCAGTAAGGTACTGACAGGCTTGCTCTCGCAACTGCAGGGTTTACTGAATGTTCACCTTTTTAGGGATTGCTTTTAACATCATGCATTTTTGGCCATTGCCATTAAAATGACCATTTAATATTTAACAATAATAAGAGCTCTCCTTTAAAAATGACTGGGGATTTGTAGTAAAAAGTCCATTTGTTTCTAGCATTCCAGTTTTTGGTTTTGGACATTAAATAATATTACCTAGCTGCAGTCATCAGGAAGAACAGGATGGGGAGAGGATTATGACTGATGAGCATCTCGACTCTAATTTGTTGCCAAATTAAGCAGTTAGAACTGTTCTTTCTTGAATGATATCTTGACTTTCTCAGCCTCGCCTTGGGAATTGGAGCCAAGGTTAATGATGGGGGCGGCTTTCTGGTGATGAGAAATATTGTAAGTCAGAGTTTTTCTGCTGAAGGGCAGGGGACCTTTGAAGGGGATTAGAGAGGTGTTGCGGGGCTGGGTAACTGAGGGGTGGGCATGTCAGCTTAGGGGTTTCTTCCCAGGTGGTTACCATTCAGGGAGACAGCTGGTCTGGAAAGAACAAGGAAGAGGCAGCTTTGGTTCAAGCCTCTGATCTGGGGCTCCCCCTGACTTGCTGCTCCGTGGGGAAACCACCTTGGGAGGGGAGCCCTTTGGTTTCCTGGCCTGCTTGCCTGCAGAGGGTTCCTTTCCCCTTGCCGAAGGCCAGCACTGGGCTAATCTATCTACAGCGTGGTTAAAGGGTGTCTGGGAGATGGAGGGGTTCCCAACACCCTAGTCTTTGGTTCTAGGAGACTGGACCGACCTCTCCTTGCCCAGGAATGAATGCAGAGGGTCTTTTGTTTGGGGCTTGCTTGCAATTAAATTGGATGGGAAGAACGGGAGAACTGCTCCCTTCTCTCTGCCCTTCCCCAGCCATCCTTTGCCTTCTGGCCAGCAGCCTGCACTCATGCTGGCTTGGGTTGTGGTGACCTCCCGAAGAGGTCTTGCACTGGGGACCCTTGGCCGAGTGGGCACAACCCTCCCGGCTCTACAAAGATGGCAGGACAGGGAGAGCCCTCCTGGGATGCCAGCATAACAGGGACAGCGGTTAGAGCTGGCCTGGATGGGGCTCCAGCGACTTCCTCCCTGCTCTTGGCTTCCCAAGCCCAGCTGATCCCGTGGGTCTCAGGTGGGTTCCCCTAATGCCCCTGCGAGGCAGTGAGAGAGGGAGTCCTTCTGGGGTTAAAGAGCTGGCAGCCGGCCGGCCCCTGGAACTTTTGCGTTTTTAAGGTAGCTCTGACTTGCAGCCGCGGAGACTGAAGGCGCTCATTTAAAATTCCAGTCCTGCTCCCGAGGGCTTTAGCCTCCATCTTCACCTTTAACGACCGAGGACTGGTGGCGGCGGCTCCCTGTCGCTCCGCGACAGGTGTCGCTTCTGAGCGGGAATTTTGGGCACAGACGACGCAGATCCGCACTGCCCCAGGGCTCTGCATGGGTTTGAGCTGGACCCAGCTTGGAGGGGTTTTTCGGAAGATGGCACGTGGGCGGTGGGAGCAGGGAAGCGGGTGAGGGGGGCCCGCCAGCGCGGATTTTTCTGCAGTTACCAGACCCACAGTCTCCGTCCTTTCCTTAAGTGTGGAACACATTTTTCTTATAATCTTCTTTGGAGAGGGGGTCAGGAACGTGCCGAGACCGGAGCCGGGTGCAGGGCTGGTCCCGGCGCGTGTGAACAGAGTGGGTAGCGGGCGGCGCGCTGCCCTGAACACCCCTCCTCTACGCCCTTGGGGGGCCGAGGACCAGGCTGGCGGAGGAGGAGGCTGGCCCTGCCAGGGGTGTGCGGGGGCGGCGTTTCTCCGCCTCCCCCTGCGCCCGGGCTCGCCCAGCCCCGGCTGCCCGCTCGGCCGTCGGGTCCCCGGGCGCGCGGACGCCTCGACGGCTCCCTCTGCAGGGGCGACCCCCCTCCCGGTCCCCACCCTAGACCAGCGGCTCAGGACTAGTCCCCCAACTTGTTCTCTGCTGTTAACTAGTCGTGCTGCCGGAACGATGGGATGGGGTTGCCACAGCAACCAGACTGGACGTCACAATCCGGGCATGTGTGCCGCCCCCCCGCCGTGCCGCTGTGCCTCCGGCGCTGCCGCCGCCACCCTCGGCCGGCTGCGGGACTGGGGCTGCGGGGTGCGGTGGGCGGAGCACCCGGGCTTTGCGGGGAGCGGGCTAAGGCGGCCAAGAGCAAGGGGGGTCGAGACGGGGGGGTGGAGGTTTGGGGGGCGGGGGGGCAGACGGCCGCCATCTTCTCGCCGAGGCCGCCTCGCCCGCCGCGCGCGCCCGTCCGGCAGCGCACGGGTTAAGGCTGGCACCGCGCCCGGCGGGAGGGGGGGCGCCCACCTCCCCTCCTCCCCGCGCCGGGCATGCGGGGCCCACTGGGCACCGAGGAGGAGCTGCCGCGGCTGTTCGCTGAGGAGATGGAGAACGAGGACGAGATGTCAGGTGAGCGGGGCGCGGGTTCGCCTGGGGCCAGAGCGGCAGGGGCGCCGAGACGGGCCGGGCCGGGGCCCGAGCGCAGGCGATGGGGGCGGCGCGGCTGGGCTGGCACCGCGCAGGAGGGGTGCAGGGGCTGCAGGGCTGCGCTCCCGCCCGACTGGCGCCGCGCGGCCAAGGGCGCGGGCTGGGTGAGCGCCCCGGCGCGGCGTGCGGGCGGCCAAGGGCGGGGTGCGATCCAGGCCCCCCGGGCGGCGACGCGGGCCAGGCGGGCCGGAGGATGGCGGGCGGGGCCTGCGCTGGGCACCCCGGCCGGGACGGGTCGCGGCGCTGCCGGGGTCAGCCCGTGTGCCCTTGAAGGGGGCGGGAATCGCGGTGGCTCCTGGAGCGGCGCACCCCGCGCTCGCGTCCCAACGCCGCGCGCCTCTAGCCTCGCCGCGGACAGGCGGGACCCAGCCCCTGGCCCATCTCGGCCGCGGGGCGGGCTGGGTGGGGCCCAGAGCGGAGCGAGGACTGGCGGTGCTTGGGGACACGGCGAGTGCCCAGGATGGGGCGGCTTCCCTCCCGGCCCAGGAGGGCTCCGCTCTGGGGCGCACCGGCTCGGACCTCTGCTCCTCTTCCCTGGCCTCTGGGCGCTGTGACCGCTGCTCCCAAGCACTTTACCCGGGCCGCCAGCGTCCTCCTGGCGCGCCCTGACGCCCGCCGCTGTCTCCAGCACCCCCATTGCCCAGGATGGTGGCGTTCCTAGCCCACCCTGCCTTGGCTACAGGCCTGACACCCCAGGGCCACCGCCCCTGCCCTTGCCATCTCTCTCCTTCTTTCTCTCTCGGAATTTAGCATCACGGGGCCGTGGGCCAGGGCTTGCCTTGCAGGACAGTTATTGAGTTAACTGCTCCTCGTTTGTTTGGGATGGTTTCCCTCCCGGCACAGCTGGACAGAGCCCCACCCTGTCAGCCACCCTCCCTCCTTTCTGGGAGACTCTTACTTCTCGGCTTCCCCACACCAAGTGTATGGCCTCTCTGGACTTCGGAGAGACTTGTGGGAGGCTGGAGGCCCTCCCGGGCCCAGGAATGTGCCTCTGGCCCCTCTGACTTCCAGGGGTGAGAAGCTTCCACAAATGGACACCTCCAGCTCCTGTTGCAGGAAGCAGCGCAGAGTCTTCCCTGAAGGGTATTCCTACCAGGTGGCCACGCCCCCTGCCCCCTCCTGTTTGCTTGCTAGGTTACTTGGTGGCTTTAATGCTGTGACCAGGCCCCTACAGGAGCCTGGCACTCACCTCGCCTGTCAGTCAGGCCAAGTTGGCAGGGAGCATGCTGCGGTCGAGGGAATAGGGGAGTCCTTACTTGGGGTGGGGTTGCTGGGACAGTGGTTGTCTGTCATATCCTCAGTCCTTGGAATCAGACCCATTCTCTGGAGGGGAAGACTCAGGCCCAGCACAGGCACCAAAATGAGTGGACATTTTCCACCCAGGAGGCTGGCTCCCTAGTAAGCCAGTTCACTGGTTTCGTCAGGAAGTTGTTTGTTGTGGTGTTTGGGGTGTGGCCCTATTGTGGCATCGATGGCATTTCTGGGGCTGCACCCACCACCCTGGTGGAGTCCCTTGGCCATCTTTCCCATCTCACACTCCGGCTCTCCCTGACTGTGTTGGATATAGAGGCTGGGGAGGGAAGGAGACCAGGGAAGGTGCGTCCAGTCTCGTAGGCACCCCCCTCGCTGCTTGGGCCAGAGAGGTGGGGCTCTGGTCATCCTGCCCACCACCCATGCTCCGCCTTGGTGGATCGGTCACAGACCCTCCAGGGGTGCCGCCAGAGCGCTGCAGAAGAGCCACCCTGCTCTGGCACCTCTGGCCTGGGGATTCTGCCCCCATCCCTCAGCAAGGCCAGCTGCTCCACCTCCAGAGCCTTCCCAGGCTCCTGGCTTCTCTCCATGTTCTGGGTCCAAGTCTCTGTCCCCTCCTGCTGATCCCCTCCAGGGCCTTCTACCCAGTCCTCGCTACCACCTTGTGCACAGCAGCTTAGGTCACCTTGTGAACACAAGTCAGACCCTGACCCACATGGCTACAGTCACCTGTGAAGCCCTTGTCTGGGTCCACGCCTGTGCCCGGTTCCACGCCTGTGCCCGCTTGTTCCCAGCAGCCACACTAGCTTTCCTGCTGCTTCTGGAGCCCTCCACGCTCCATTCTGCCTTGGGCCCCTGGCTGTGAACTCTGCCTGACCTGCTCTTTCCTCTGTTCACTGCTGCCCCCAGCTCAAATGTCATGATGAGGAGGGCCACCCTAGCCAAGGCAGGGCCTTCCAGTCACTCTGAGACACGTCGTCATGCTTTCTTTGGAAGAGATGGGGTCTTGCTATGCTGCCCAGGCTGGATTCAAACCCCTGTGCTCAAGTGATCCTCCTGCCTCGGCCTCCCCAGTAACTGAGATTACAGGCTTGTGTCACTATACCCCACATACTTGAAATGTTATCATCAGTTTCCTCCTGGGTCTGTGGGCTCCCCTTCAAGTGTAACTCACTCGATACCTGCCGTGCCCAGCACCTGAAACCATGCATGCCTGAGAGATGGTTGTGGTTTCAGTGTCTGAGGGCTGGGACTCCCTAGGTCACCCTGGCTCCTGGCTGTGAGGACATCCCCAGCCAGGTCTCCTGTCAAGTAACACTGCTGGCCCCCGATCACCCTGAGCTCTTCACCATAGCCCCCCTGCAGACCTGGGTCCAAGCTCAGCGGCAGCGACTCCCGCAGACCCAGAGCCAGCTGGTTCCAAAACATGGAAGCGTGTGGCTGGAGGAACTAGTGTTTTGGAAGCTGTGACAATGATTTTTAAATCTATGGCTGTTGAACTCATGACTTGTCGGATATTTTTTTTTTTTTTTTTTTTTCAGGGAGATCTGGAGCCATGTTACCCAGGCGGGAGTGGAAAGGGGGGAACGCGGGTCAACGCAACCCCAGCCCGTTGGGTGCAGGCG